TTGTCTTGATCTAGGTGAAAGATGCATAAAAACAGTGCACCGGAAAAAAATTGACGGTCCATGGACAGGAAATTTGCAATCATGCGGTATGATAACCCAGCGGTAGAAACCATAATAGTCAAGGATCTTAGAAGACAGATGCTAGAAGAGGAATTTACTGGTAAACAAATGGCATCTTCTGCCTGTCAGATTTACGTGAGTTGCATGGTATGACTCCATGCTATCACTCATCTCCAGCTTACTTCGTCCCCTAATCGATAATGCCCCACTGTCAAAGTAGACGTGAGGAAGTTCTACCTTGTATCTGCCGCATTAGCCTATTCAGTTTGGTTGCATGACTCCGGGGCTCAGCATATGACGATCAGTCTATTGTAGTCCTGTCAGATTTCAGAAATACAGTACTGTGTTGCAAAGAAACAGACAGAAAAATTACTTTCAAGACGTTTTATAGGAAGTCAACGCATTTGGTGGTTGGACCACTCAGTCATGTCACATGCCACTCCAACACTGTTGGCTGTCCCAAATTCATAACGTCATCACCCCATTCTTGAAAATTCCTGATCTGTTGAAGAAGTCGGTAACACATGGAGCTTTGTATTCACTTCTACTTCTGGTGATGTTTGATTTTAACAATACACTCAAATAGAAAATCACGGTGCGAAAATGATTGGATTTCTATATTACCCTCAGAGAACCATATTAAAGAATATTGGTCAGTTTATGGTGGTTACAATGAACTCAGAGATGATCACCAATGAATGCGTGGAGGGAAATGATTGTAATGAGTGGAGACAATGTAGAGTGATACAAATATGAGTGCACATGTAAGACGATTGTTTGAAGAGCCGAGGTGCTTTGTATTATCTCGAAAGTGTGCATTCTGGTGTTTGTGAACCATGGGTTCTTCCTCCCCCTCTCCGGTACAGAGTCTCATAATAAGGGGAATACCATGATCATAAAATGACCCAGCGTGGTTGCGTGATATGCTAACTTGCTGTGCCAAGATATTCATAGCTTCCTGTAAGATGTTTTCGCCACATCTCAATCGTTTGAAATTTCTACACAGTAACCCAACACCTAAAAGAAGCACTATCATCATAAAGACGTAATATGCTACTCATGATAGTTCTGGAAACTCTTCAACAGCCCATAATGTTAACGGAAACTCGGAAACTGTGTTTACCTGGTGAGCCCCAAGGAGGAAAAAACCGGTCGTGGACTGTCAGAGTTTTTTAGTAATAGGCTACATCTAGACAACGTACTGTGGCATAGCGAATATCGTACCGGCTGAGACATGAGGCGGTTTGATGCAGCAAATTCAGTTAATTACTTGGTATGCAGATTAGGGTATGAGCTGAACTTTAGTTCGAACGTATTGGGAAGTTTTTCAAGGTGCACACTCTAGCATGTGAACCGGTGCAGCTTATTCATTTAGGTTATAAACAGCACCCTTCTCGTTCAACTCCAAAGTCCAGCAGTTCCGTTCGTATACCTGGACGTTTATTCTGCCCTCGAGCAACGTCAACGATCTGATTAACTTAGAACTGAGACACCTGTCTGCTGTGTAACACTCTGAATCTCTCAATGCCCTCAACAACTGATCTCTACCGTCAATAACCTAGGACTCGTTCAAAACATAAGCAGTCACGGAACGCGGCAAAGCACGTCTACTTCTTCTCCGGTATTTCACAATCTGCATTTTATTGTCCAGGGACGTGACAAAATCTCACAGAGGGAAGTTGAATCGCTAAGCTAATGTGTGCACAACGGACATAAGTGACAATCTGGTTATGTCGTTTTCCGCCGAAAAGGGATTGGCATTGGGTGGGATATAAAGTTTATTTCCATCATCTGTTTCCCCTGTCACACATCGTGCCGTGAGGCCACTGCAAAGGATGGGATTTTCTTCTCCGGTCTTCGGATGTTTGGGTGATAAAGTTCTTTCGGGTATGGCAATAGGGTAGCTGTGGCGAGGTTTTGTAGTGATGTTGCCGGACAATACAGTGTTTCAACGCCATCTATCCTGCGCAATCAAATGGGGACTAACGTCAGATATGCTTCCATGTTCGCCTAGGTTAGATCGAAATATTCGCCAAAACGACAAGCTAATTTTGAGTGATAATCTTCGAGTCAGCATTAGGTTTAAGCACGAAATGATGTGTGTGAAGGAGCTAACAATGGACTTAACAGATGTGGAATGCTTTCATTCAGGAGACTGACAGAAGCAGTGCTGCAAAATCGGCGAATAAGCACATTGAAACAACTGAGAGTTCTATCTGAAATCTTGAAATCTCGAACAATGCCACGTGCATGACATTAAGTAAAATACTGCACACAACGTTGTCTTTGAGGGAATAGAACAAAAGTGATTTGGTCATATTACACCACATGAATCATCAGACTAGTACGGCGGGGTTGAGAAACCGGGGTCAATAAGGCAAGTGGAAAAGGAAGATTATACAGTATAGATGTAATGCACTACTCATAAGGTTGCTGCAAATCCATCGACAGCCCACGACCGGTCTCGCCCTTCTCGGGGCTCATCAGGTAGGCACAGTACCCGAGTTTCCGTCAACCTTATCTTCTGCTTAAAACCAAATTGCGCGAAATTAGCGAAATACACTCACTTGCAAACCAATTCGGTTTTGCGAGAGACTCACCTGGAACACATTGGAATCTCTCGTTTGCGATGTTCCAGGTGAGTCTCTCGCAAAACAAACGAGTGTACTTCGAAGTGTATACAGGCTATGAAGGCTAAAGACAATCCAGCAACTTCTAAGACAGGATCCACTTATTCGAATTGCAACGCTTGCATTATTTACAGCAAGCTTGAATGAAATCCGCCGCATAACGCTATTGTACGTTCAACAATCTTTGTCGATGGGCGCCTAGTGGACTTTAAATTTTCCACCCGCTTTAGCTTCCTCAAAAGGGATGATACCGCGTCTTATGGCCAAGAAGGTAATGTTGTGCATAACTACAAGCTGATCAGCAAACGGTCGCAAAATATACTACACAACAGGTGACATCCAATATCATATTTAGTATATTACTTATTAATTGTATACGACATACTGTACATCGTATGCACTGATAAATCATGATGACCGTAATCCAACTAACTTGTTCATCGGTTCATTCAAGGAGACAGCATGGCGTTGCGGTTGTCTGTGAAAACACCATCCAATCAGCTAAACGCGCTCATTTGCATATTAAATGGATGTTAAGGGAAGACTTCACCGGATTTCTCGCTAAGGCCTACGTAATATGGAAATGACTGTTTTCGTCGATTACGTGAAATTTGGTGTTGAAGTAGAACATAGGTTGACGAGAACTCGGAAAATGACCTAAGTGAAGAACCCCATGATGATAGAAACCCATCCTGGGTTGTCGAAAGCTTTTCAGCAGGCGTATGAATGATGTGTCTTCAGGAAATCTGAGGGGTTATTTTTGCACCCTAACCAAACTGCGTCGAAGTTACATCTTGGTGTCAAACTTTTCTGATATAAAGTGGTTCATGGCACAACCACTAACCCACCGCTACGCACCACCTCGCTCCCCAATAACGCACTGATTATGTCACCTCGATTGGTGATGAAACGTTTGCAATCAAATTGCCCAACTCAGCGAACAAGCCAACGATATGTTCTCCTGTCCGCGTAACACACCTGAGAGCCCCGATATTCAAAGTGCACGGTTGCGGTATTGATCGGCTGGATGGATAACCTGTGGTATCCATCCATATTCCTTCTTTCACGATCGGCGTGAATAGTGGCGAATGGTGAAATCTGTCGGTTGACGGCGCATCCGCCGTCAACAGATGGCCGTGCTCGATTTACACACTTGAACTTTGTGCTCTTTTGCTTTCGTGGTGCATACTGTGCCAGGCTTTGTTGATTGTCCACAAACGCAGCTTCCGTCCAGCTTGGTCTCGTTCTTCATCCGTAGGTGGCAGTTCACCAGTACAGCAACAAATGCAACACGACTGTTACTCAAAATTCCTCGTTTACATCATTGGGTTATTCGCAGCACCACCCGTGCATATCATGAGTTTTAGGGTCCAGGCCGAATACCGCTGATGACATCATGCGGAAAAAGTGTTGTCAGGATTTATTGGCATTGGTTATTGCGGGATTCGTAGAATTCACATTCACAGGAATCTCGTTTGAACAATCGTCCCCACTGTGCCGGCTTAATCATTATGGTGAGCCCGCACCAAAGTGGGGAAACAGTGGACTCGAGTTTCGCTCTTATTAGAGCTCATCATCAGTGCATATCCTTGGCTCCGCCGGGGTTTGAACTCCGTACATGCGAGGCGAGAGTTTTACCACTGTTCCACCACCACTGGCTGGAGGCATCTGAATTTTTACGTCTGTACCGGTGAACGTGTTCACAGTTGAGTGATGTGAGCGGAAAACCCGACGCCTCGAGCGACCACCCAGTAGCATACCTTGGTTGTGTTGATCTTATTGCTATTATTGTTTATCATTATTAAACTAATTGCTATTGCGATCACCATTATCACTGTATCCATAACGGACACGTGCGGTTCACCGCAAAGGTTACCGAGCCATGGGTGAAACCGTCGACGAATCCCACTTTGTCCACCGTTGGACGACCTGGAAAGAATGCACTGCATGGCAGACTGTTCTTTGTCGCGTGTTTTGAGACCTCCCATCTCCCCCCGCCTCAAATTTTGTGGACACACCCATCGGACTTCTTTATTTTGGGTGATGAGGTGTAAACGACAAATGTCAGACATCCGGATGGAAATCGGGCACCTGATTGGTTGGCCAGTTCATTGATGTGACGGGACACAGCAAAAGCTTCAGTCAGAGGGGCGTGTCTCTGTTCCAGGTTGCAGTCACGTATGAAATGGCGAAACGCACAACTGTGCACACACACATTGATGCACCCAGCACATACACGCACGCACACACAGAACACTCATACAAACGCACAGATCGCGCAGACACGCTGCATTCACTTCGAGTCCTGCCATGCAAGATTCTGTGCACCGCCCAATCAGCGTGAAGGAGAACGCTGACATGGCATGGAGGAATCGTTGGCTGTTACGGTCCTTACCGGATCAGGTGCCATGACGGCACCCCTGCTCTGTGCGTGAAAATCAACAGTGGAAAATACTCACATCACATGCACACAGTGTGTTGCTCAAATTTGACTTTGCGACTAAGCCTAGTTCACAAAACCCAAATCCTGATTGTTTTGCATATCAAAGTAAGTTGACGTTAATGATTGTGTAAGTTATATGTGGCACCTGTTAGCATCCATTTTTTAGTTTGCTAAACGATAAAATCTCAGTGTCATGCAACGGAAGTCAGTGGTTTGAATGCGATTAAACGTTGCGATTCTCTAACTACCATATTGGTATAGCTCTATCACCAGTGGTGGCGTTCTGTGGATTGGACGCTTTACAGTGAAACTGTACCAGATTCGCAAATACACCTTGTGATGAATCTGTGAGAACATCATTTTTTACGGTGAATCTATGCTTGCTGATAGGATGAAACTCTGTTGATGATCGAGATTCCGCTATCAAAAGCCCGAACTAAGTGATAAGCCCCGGGTGGCGCTGATGTAAATATACTAAGAAGTTGTAAAAGAACGTGACAAAAGTTCCGTCTAATCGAGGCAGTTTCCATTCGTATATCTCAGTCAGTTTATCCCGGGATTTCTCTAGTTAGCTGCTGACATCTTGGTGAGACGCTGGGTGACACTTTGTTAGGTGCTTTCCAAATGCCACTTTAAAGACCCACTCACACAATTTGGTAAAGAATGACCTCGCGGCTTTGTGCAATTAGTTTGTCACCATGTTTCCCCTTAGATTAGTGGAAGATATTAACACATGGTGCATTGACTGGACTTAACTACTCTATCAACTCAACAGATGTTGACTGGTTGCTCTAGTTCCGAAGGACCGAAAAAGTGGAACTTTAGACAGAGTTATGATGCTTATCCATGCCTATGGCGCCAGAGTGACTCCAGCCTTTCTACCAGGGACGGAGTATATACTGTGGCAGCTTGACTCATGTTGCTCAATGAATTAAACTTATGACCTTGACACGCAGAAGATATACGAAATTTTTCAGTAGTTGACCACCGGCTCCGGAGGGACTTCCATTGGGGCACGCTGGCACCAACCAAATGGTGTCAGATCCATCGATTGGCTTCAGGTGGCAATGGATGTGCTAATAACAGTACATAGATTAAGCTTCTTAGTCCACGCACGACAAACCCGTCTACCTTGAACAGCTTATTTCACCCAGCCATGTGCTAAGAGGGAACAGCCAAAGTGTGGACAAGTGAGTGGACAACTTCCGACAGCTTAGAAACGTGCCGAAGTGTGGACACCTCAGTTGCGTTTGGTAGTTGTTTTTCGAGGGGAAGTCGGTCCGTTTGCCGAAAGCGAATCTCAGCGAGCAGATCAGTATTGGCCGAATGAACGACCAAAGCAACCTGTCCGGATGGGGATCCCCAGACGCGATTCACCAAACGGCCAACGAGACAGAGAAGCATGGTTCCTTCATATCTCATGTTTTCCTGCGTCAAGTCTAGCGCCGTCAGCTCACAGGTATCTTAAATCCGACCTTTTCAGGTCATTAAGACAATATAATCCAGATAAACTCATCGTTCTTAACGTATTGCCGTTACTTTCCCGTCCGTTCGCTTTCGATAATCAGTTGACGCAATAAAAAAAGGGAGCCGATTAGACTCGGGTTTCAAACCCGGTAGAGTTCATTAAAAGTACATATATTTGACCATGACATCAAATTCGACATACCTTTTGGGGCGAGCGGGGCACCATTACTCCACCAGTGTATGTTGGAGGCACCAGAATCATCACGTCAGTACAGGCAAACGTGCTCAACCTTAAGCGATGTGATTAGTTTGCCCAACTCCTTTAACGACAACCCGATATTCATTTTGCTTGTATCGATCATTTGATCAGTATTTCCGGACTTCCCAGCCAGGTGATTCTGGCTTGAGCAGACTATTTTGTCTGAACAGTGAAAACACCTTGGCCTAGCATATAAGAAATCCCTTGTTCAAATCCCGGTCAAACCGAGGAAATGAGCTCCAATAAGGGTTGAGCTCGAGTCCAGTGGTTCAACCGGTTGTGGTGGAACAACCAAAATAGTTACGGCAGAAAAAGGAAAGGATGATATGAATAGACTTTTCAAAGTTGAGCCGTAGGGGACTGATAGAAAAATCCCCTCAAATTCTCAGAAGATCCGTTCTGTTGATGAGACTGTTTCCCATTTCCGTCAGCTCTCGAATGAATTCAGAAGATCCAACGGTCGCTGAGATTGTACCTGGAACCGCTGCATCACAGTTGCAGCTTTTTCTCCAATCAAGTGCCAGTAACCATCTTCCGTCACCAGCGTTTGTGTCGACATCCCTTCCAAGACAACCTTTAGAGCAACGTTTGCAAACAACTTTCAACACGAACACGACCTTGCCTGCCTATAGTCAATGGCTGCACACGCTTTTAAGGTTTCCTACGGTAGTCAACCAAAGGATGCAGAGTCACTCAAACCATCCGACTATTTATGATCAAAGTGAAAATACAAGGTCGTCAGGCTCGATTGAGCAGTTGCAGTCGCTATCGCACCGATGTGATGGAAGTCAAACAGAACAGACACCACAAACTGCTGCAGAGGAAAAATGGGGTGGCTCATTTTTAGACCCTTCAGTATTTGCGCATTGGCTCAAATCACATCACAAGCCACAACGGACCATTCAGCAGGCTTGCCAAGAAGCATCTGAAATGATTAACCCTATAGAAACTAAAGCCCCTGCACTTTCCTTCATGAAAAGCGTGTCAAGAGCAGGTGCACCGTCATCCAAGACACATCCAACAAAACCAACAAGTTTGGGATCCGTGACAGTTCACAACGCGTCTTTGGGTGATAAACCTCAGATCACTCCTAGCAATGAATACAGAGCAATTATCTTTGAAGGTAAGTGAACTTATTCTAACAGATCTTCTTGTATGTAAACCTGATGACGGTTCATATTGGTTACGGTCACCCAAATCAACTTTCCTACAATTGGTAAGGAAATAGTAAATTAAATAAGCAGATAAACAACGGCATACATTCCTGCGAACTTCATAGCAGTAGTTATGTCAATTTTCGCGAAGAAGAGCTTTCTCGAACCTATTTTGGAACGTGTTTCGGTGGATCGAAGTAGTCAGTTGCGATATATCAGTGTATTTTAAGTAGCTTGTTACTTGATGACTCCAGCATGAAAAGGACGGTAATTGAGGAGTAGTCATTAGATCATTTATAGTTATTCTGGACCGATACAAATCGATGCATGGATTAAACTAGCTATACTACTTTAGTAGTGTACTTCGGTTGCGCGTATGAACTTTGGGGTTGAATATGAGGCAGTCATCGATTTGATGGGTGCCACATCAGGAAAAGTAGTGATTGTAGAGATTACGTCAGCCTATTCAATGCGCCTTATAGACAAGGACTTCTACTCACCACACAACTATTTATTCGTATATTTTAGCACAAAGATTTGACAATACTTTTTCACCACTAGCTGGTTATTTAAATGTCTCTTCCAACACAGCAATTGGTGAGGCTCCTGACTTATTTCTCAGGGCTTATCAGCTCAACACGTGTTCAAGTATCAAGTGATTTGTAAGTGTTTTGATCGGAAAATATGCCAGGATGAGAAGTAAGACGAAGCACTCACTCATTTCTCTGATTCAGAAGAGAAACACAACACAAGCCAACAAACTTATGGCGAGTTTTTTCAGTTTTGATACTTTATTTCGCAGCACGATTCGCACTCAACAGGTGAAGTGAATCTAAAAACTTCCCTTCATCAATATGACACCCCTCGAGGGTGCAGAGGTGTACGGCGTTCGATTTCGTTTTTTTCTACGCAAACAAGGATGGTCAAATAACTTTGGTGCAGGGTATTTTTGTTATCAAAGAGTTTGTTTATCCGAGTGCCAGTCACATTTTGAGGAAAGATACTTCCCAATTTACCCAACATACTCGTTCACTCGCTTAAGCAATACCTTCCTTTTCAGGTCAAGGCAGAGTAAACCAACTGGGTGGGATGTTTATCAACGGTCGACCACTGCCTTATGAGACAAGACTTAAAATTGTACAGTTGGCAAACAGCGGAGTACGGCCATGCGATATTTCACGCCAGCTCAAAGTTTCACATGGATGCGTCAGCAAAATATTACAGCGGTATAACGAAACCGGTAAGTTGCATTCTGATTGAGCTAAATACTTGTCAGTAATCAAGTGATGAGAAGTCTAGCAGCTGTAGAACATATAGCTAAGGTCAACTTTGTCCCGAAATGATTGTTAATAGTTTAATTGCCGAAAATTTTGCGAGATGACGGCTGAGAGGCGGATTCAGATTACAAAAAGGGGATAGGCCGAGTTCATCCGAAAAGAAATCCAAATGTGGGCCCTGTTCTTTCAGATTCGTCACTGCTAATACTACTAACTCGAATAATTTAAGCTATCTTGACAAAGTGAAACAATATCTTACGCCTAAAGAATGATGCAGGATATTTCCAGATTCTGTAGTTTTGATGCTGTTCCACTGCACACACTAATACAATCGAAGTTGCTTTCCGCTTCCACCGAAAGTGCACCCCACTCGTCCGCGTCCTCAGTGGTAAATGTGATACACTTTCGGCTGTCCTAGTTCCACTGTCTCACACAAGCAGGTTTTCTGCGCATCGTCAACTTCACAACTACCACATTCGCTGTCATCGGTGTCAACATGTTAGCTTCAGGTCTATGAGGTTGATACATGCTGCTGAATGCTAAGTGGCGAATATAGCGAAATGGGAGAGTGCGTTCGGCACGTACATGTTGTTTTGGACCGTGTTCGCACGGAACCCAAAACAAGTCAGTGTATGCGCATTTTGTTGGGTATATGTGCATGTGCTCAAATGGTAAGTGTAGAGTTCGTCGTGCTTTTGTGAAAAATGCGAATGAGCACTGTCCTTACTCTTCATTAGTCAGTCGACTAGGCTGTCGGCGTTCACAACTTTGGTCAGATGATGGTTGACCGGTTGGCCGAGCCTCTTAATATAGTTGACGTCAAGGATCTGGTTTCTTTTCGGACTCGGGTTCATGTGTTCAATCTGTATGAAGATTTCCAATGACTGGGGTCTTACAACCGTCCTCAAACACCCCAAACAACGTGAACTGAGAGCATCATGTGCAGTGAACCATGAATCAGAAACGGTCCAGTCAAATAACAGGTGGCAGCTTTATTCAGTGACACAATACTTTCATTGAAACAAGAAATTTAATGACTTCGGCTGTCAGGACACTGATGAACGGGTAGTAAATGATGTCCACTCTGGCTGTGAATAACCTCGGAGCCACCATGGATGGTAAGCGAAGGGAAACAGATCCGCTTCAAACCTTTTCGAAAATTAGCTCAGACCAGCATCGTGAAGCTGTCAGAGCTTTGGTGACTTAGATCTCAAGCGATTGGTTGTTAGTTTATAACCTTCGGCGACGTAACCCCAAAAATGTTCTTTTACCTGAAAATACATTCTAGGCAGTGTGAGTCCTGGAGCTACGGGTGGGGCTCGTAAATCTCGCTCAAACATACAAACAGACAAAATATCCACAACTCGGAGGAATGAGATAGAATGCAATGGACCAAGAAATAGGCCACAATCAACAGAGGACCACCATTCAAGACAGTTGCGTCAGAACACACTTCGAAAATTCTCAAATTCCTCGTCTGCACAATCAGCTAACTCCTTCGAATGGCTTAAAGAAATGTCCAACCGATTCACTTCTGCGAGAGAGGGTCAAATGGAAGTTGATTGCGTGGATACTCCAGGAGATGTTGAAGGGACAGGATGCATACGTTCGATGCAACCTAGTAGTCAGTGTACATCTGGCGCCATAGACTTACGCACCTCCTACTGCTCGAAGTCGCACACATTGGAACAGTTATCGAAAATCACCGAGGAAGACGGGTTCACTGTACATCCCATGGAGTTTCAGGAAAATTCATCACCTCAAGGTAAGCGAGGTTACATAATAAAGTTCTACTGTTAACTATGTGATTCGCCACTGGTTCCGAAGAAGACATCCCTCACCCTCGAAACGAGAACAGGTTCCAGAATTATTTATATTATTTGTACGTGGAAACAAGATCGAAGACAAGAGTCAATTATCATCGGTTTAGATGATACCACATAGGATATGCGATTTTGGAGTTGCCAACAGGTAACTTGTACTGAATCAACTATTGTCATAAACATACCTTTCGGCGCAACCCACCCTTATACAGCTTCGAAATGAGTTATTATACCTACATGGCAGTAGCGGTCGAGTTTGCGTCTCTACTGCTCTGAGCTCTCTTTTGACTCTGTGGTGTATCTTACTAGCCCAGGGAATTTCTCAGAGACGTTTCGCACTGTCGCATTACACCAAAGTGAACAGTCCACTTGTTACTGATATAATGAGAGGTGGGGTTTGTTCAGGGTAGTTTTACTTAGATACGTGGCCTTCTGACGAAGCTAGGAGATGATTACACCTGCAAACATATCTTGCAATACACGTTGCGTTACCTCTCAAGGGTCGTATAACAAACATATTTTGAAACCGAATAGTCAACCTATGTGATGCCCTCGTAGTAATTTGGATGATGAAACACTTGTTCACCAATATCATGAAGTTTGGAATGGCTAGTCAATAAGCCATCCTTTTGTCTAGTCCGATATGTATGGTTATACTCGTCACCGCAAGAACCAAGATCAGGAAAACAGTCAGTTGTCCCAAACCGACTGCATTGAGAGTTGCAATGGTTCTTCACAATTCCGTGCTTAACCTGATTCCATCCTGTTGGAATGTGTCACGCTCATCCGTCTTCCCGTGTACATCTCGTTCAGTGGTCCCACTGGAAATCATCAATTCAGGTCACCGGGCTGACAATGTGAACGATAAAACCACGCCCAAGTGTATTCACGGACCATTTGATTTAACTTGACGAATGAACGTTTTGGAAAGGATTTAGAATTCAGTAAGGTGAACCTGTCAAGAGCCTGTTCGGCCAATAACTCTTGTGTGATCAATTAACGTCTACATAACTGAAAAAAATTTTGTCACAGGTGGTTTCAGTTCAAAGGCCAAAATGCTTAAATAAATAAAATGGAAGTGGAATTCGTGAGGCTTAATTTGACTAAACAACATTAGTATACATGCAGAACAGAGAGAAAGAGAGCGGGAAAGCCAGCCCGTGATCTGGTTGCCAAATGCGCCATACTCATGCACTTGAACGTTGACATTTCTACCACACGCCTCTCTAATTAACCACATCATATCAGGAACATATTGAAAATCTTTATCCCAAGCAACCATTTCACTATCTCCTTCCGTTCGTTTTCCATAGGCATTACAATTGAGGGAACAAATCCGCGGACCATTAGTTCATCGATCGAATGTCAAGGTGCTGGTGATTTCAAACACACTTCACCATTGTCAACCAAATTTGCTTATACAGAAACCTCTCCTTCTGCAAAGCATGACCTTCGGTCAACAAGCGTAACTGGCGCAAATTATGATGTGACAGAGACGCACAATGGGGAGGAAACACGAACTATCAGCTGTTCTAAAATGAAACATAAGAAGTTTTCCAATATAATGGTCCCTTCCCCCAACCCCCATTTTCCAGAATTTTCTCCACAGCACGAAGACGAAGAGTTGGCCATAATCGGGGGTCCTCGTAACCATCAGAACGCAAAGCGTCAATATTACGGCGAAGATGTGATGCAGTGTGAAGCACTAGGAGAAGGTATTAAAGGACATCAGGACTTTCAGTGTCCTGCTTCATTGAATTACTCGGTATCGCGCTTGAAAGGGGATGAGTGCGCTGAACCAAAACAGACCGTCGTGGCGGAAACATCTTCATCAGAACTAGAGGTGGCCATGATAGAGTCACAAGACGAGTATTCACATGAAGAGACCTCTCCAGCAGATTCTAGAGGCATTGATCCCAGCTTGGCCGCATCCGTTGGGAGAAGGAATAGAACCACCTTTTCAGAAAATCAGGTAATTCGTGCATAAGTGCATTGAAGAAAATTCAGGTCATGGTTGTGAATCCCATCATAGCCACCTGCTGACTCGTGCAGACAGTCCGAATACTGGTAAATATCAAATCGGTTGATATGGATATTAAACTGAGGCTTCACACCAACCTTTGATCCTAACCGGTTGCTTATGATAAAGCTGCCTATACCCTCAAAAGCCGGATCATATGGGGCCTCCAGACTGAAATAGAGTGCCTTGCTCTGCATCATGCTCGCCTGACAGATCTCGCACTGTCGAGCAGTGGACTTGCACACCAGTGGATAGTGTGTAAGCTGATAAATGCTTGGATAGGGTTACTCGGCAGACCGCAGACAGTAGTGTGATTAAAATTTATACATTGCAGAAAATTCACTATCTGAAATAGGTTAAACAACCTCGTCGGATCAGTAATTTTACTTTGAAGGATCATTCAGGATGACTTTCATGAAGCAATCCAGATGGAAACCTGACCGAACCGAGTTTCATTTTGCTTATTCACAGACAGGGGCTGTGCACAGTGATTATGCGTACCTCAATCAAAAGAGGGCTGGCGTTACTTTCACAGAACCTTTTGAAACTGGGGAACACTAGTTTGTGTGTATAGTGGGTGCTTGTCAGAGTTGCCATTGCGATATGGAAGACTAAACTACTAAGATGAACATCAGCCACGATAATAGCAGTTTCAGCACCGAATTCGACAAATGCAACGTTTTTTCCACACCACTATACGTCTAGGCGGTCAGCCTTCTACAGCATTGAGGTGCTCTTGCTCACTTCGTAAAACTTTTAACCTGTTATTGAGTAGGATCATGGATACTTTGCTGAGTGACTTGTAATTGCAAGAACAAAAGTTTCTGTCGCGGGGGAATAAGTTATCCGTGCAGAGAACAAAATCAAAGTTAGAGCGCCGCTATCCCACGAATGGGTTAATGAAAAGCCCTGTAAGCTGTGGAAGTTTCGGGGATTCGCTCTCCGGTGTAGCTTTCGTCAAGAAGTGCCCTATTTTTGAACAATCTGCATTTTCTGTTATAGTTCTGAACCGCTATTGAACCGAAAATGCTCACGAGATGTAAAGCATATCTGTTATTTGTAGTGAAGTAGCCGTTGGGTGCCAGCTTGCATATTTGCATCCCACAAACTTCTGTCATAACTGCGCATTGAANTTTTCTGTTATATTTCTGACCCGCTATTGAACCGAAAATGCTCACGAGATGTAAAGCATATCTGTTATTTGTAGTGAAGTAGCCGTTGGGTGCCAGCTTGCATATTTGCATCCCACAAACTTCTGTCATAACTGCGCATTGAACAGCTACCTTTTTCAAACATTTCCAGATCGCTTTTCTAGAGATGGCCTTCCAACGAACACACTATCCAGATCTACAAGTGCGTGAATACCTCGCCGCGCGTACCAATCTGCCAGAATGCAAGATACAGGTAACTAGATAATCTGCGTATCGCATGAGAATGTGTTGCTAAAAATAAGCAGGCACTTTGCAAGGAAAGGTTCACTTTAATGTTTCTTACAATATGAAGGCAATATCTCACTTCTAACCCTGGCGCGTTACACTCAATTCACAGACAACCAAATCAGAAACTCCGACGGGGAATAAAACATAACTCGGGGGGGGGGGGAAGGAAGAGGGACAGGGTTTTTTGAAGGGGATAGTGGAATAAATCTGGTCCGTAAATGATGCAACGAAGGGCACTAGGGGTTACCCTAGTGTCATGGGCATTTGGTTGTCAAACTCAACTTAATTTGTCATGTTTACAGCATTCAGATAACCACCACTGTGAGGCGGTGTCTAAACGGATATTCATTTAGTGGTCTGAATACTCAGATCGTAGCATTTGAGCTGATGTAAGCAAATTTGGATGGCCTAACTGTGTCCGTATATCACAGCTTAATCTTTGAATACGGGCCCGTCACGCCGTGAGCGCACTGTTTTACGTAGCCAGTTTGCCATAATAATTGTTGCTTTTTGGAAGACCTGTTTACCCAAAGCATGCCATGATAAGGCCATTATAATAGTGTCGTTTCACATCCGAATGGTAAAAAGCAAACTGCGGTAAAATCCTATGTAGAAACAAGATGTTCATTGTAATAAAGAAGACTGGCTTCACTCGCTGAGAGAGACCTCTTATTTCTGAAATTTGGGATTTCGTACTCTCTCAACCTGATTCCCATGGGTTGGTATATACTAAGAAGCCCACGCACAGCAGTTACCGTTATCTTTGTGTACAAAATCTTCTCTTAGATAGGTTACTACATGGGAAATGGGCACTTTCCATTTTTAAGAGTGGTTGCTCTTCAAATCACCCCCCAATCTTTCACGACAATGGATGCTGTTGCTTACTGTCAGGTTTACCGACCTTCGTTTGGAAAACCCCTCTTAGATTCACTAAGGCTAGTTCTTTTAAGCTGTTTCTGTTTTACACAAAGCCTTTAAACTGACGTTGGCAAAGATATCTTGATGTGGGAACAGTGAACCAAAAAATGAGAACCCCTGGATTGGATTATAACAACTAAGGAATGTTGTTTCGTGTTTTCAATTGGTAAAATTGTGCTGGCAGACATCGGGTTGCCGCCAAAACTTTAAGCTACCATATTACATCTCCATTGAATATAATAAATCCAGGTCCCAAAGAACTGAACACCACTGCCAAAGAACCCAAAGAAAATTGGTTTCAATCTTCAAAAGCACTTTCGTCTTTCCACAATGGTCATCACTTAAGTTGGGCCGATAATTTCAGTACCACCCACAGGACTAACAGAGTAGTCACTAAGCATCTTTGAGTGTTTATTTTATCCAGTAATAAGAAAACTGGTTTAGAGCGCATGACAATCACCTGATCCTCAATACTTAATGAGTACTAAATCAGTCATTTAGCCAAAATATTTACATATTATTAGTAACTAAAATGTTAGATCACGGGTGAACTTTATGAATGTGTCGCGCATGTGGTATCACCCTTCATAGAATGCTTATACTTTATGTCACTGCGTTAAAGGTGTGGTTCAGCAATCGGCGTGCTCGCTGGCGGAAACAACTGGTTATGGCACAAGAGACTGGGCAGCAGCCGGCAGCTACGGTTGAGTCTCCAAATATAAAACCCACACTGTCGTCCTACAAGAGTCCAGATGCATTTCATACTTGGTCAGGTGATCGCTGGCCTTACTGGATATCTCGTACACCAGAGAAAACTCGACCTACGTTCTCTGTGCATGACCTTCTGCCCACAGGCCTCATACCACTTCCCAGGACTCCCGAACCCTTACCTACCATTTCAACACTCCGCCCAACGCAAGGCAGTACGGACACACAAACCTCACCTTTCGCTCAACACTCCCTATTTTCAAAGCCACGATTCACGGTTCCCTTTGTTGGAATGAATGTGCCCCTTCAACCTTCCCATATCGATTTGGGTCCATTTTCTGCCAACATCACTCATCAGGATCTACAGTTATCTTCTGCGCAGTATTCACACAGAAAATCGGACAATGAAAAACCTTCATTCCTTGAATTTGCAAAAGCAGATAACTCGGTACGGACACCTTTGTTCGACAGAGAAGATAAAAACAACCTCGTCAAAATACAACCAACTCTGTCTTCTACCCAGTGGCTGATGGCACAGGGGTTCTTCACAAGAATGGTAAGTACTTTTTTTGCAAGAGGTTATCCACCGTTTGTTCTCCTGCTTGACCTGCTCCTTTTCAGTACTCAGTGAAATACCGTGAAGACTGCAGAAACCTACCTGACTGGTTTTGGGTTTTTCATCTGTCATCCAATCCACCACGAAAAAATTGTCAGATATCCCACCATAGTGTTTTCACTCCGCTCTGTCCTCCACAGCATTGAACAACTTTAGTCACTCAGAACAGGAAACTTTGGGTCGCTTGCCAAAGTCTATCCGGATGAAGTTTCTTGTTCCTATGTAGAAAGTGTTAACAGAATATTTGTTCCGGTTGCGGTATTCCACTGCAATCATTCAAAAGACCAGCACACCAAACACTTTCAGAATGATGCGGCGAAGGCAAAATTTCATAGACGAAATTACATTGCCTAATTCCACTAACTGACTACATAACTATGCTCTTTCTTCAATATTCTACAATCCCAAGAACAGTATAACTGGTGGTATTTTTCATGAGCTCCCCACTGTTGAATAGGAAATAGCTGTATGGCATTGGTAAAAGAACCAATACCGAGAGATATCACAATCCGGTTCAAACAATTGCTCTGACGGTTGATTGATGGTTTCTAGGATAACGGTCACTTTCCTGAATATCACACGTTTTCAGAAGGTGGATAAAAAAGTATGTACCAATAAGATACAAGAGTGTGTAAAATTCTAATGAAGACCAATTTTATTTGACTAGTCCTGTAGCCAAACACGACAGTATGTGGTTACTGAAAACGGACTGGTATGGCATCTTCAGAACGTATGCGACTGCAAGCCAACTATTGTCGACGATGCCTTTAACTGATGTGGAAAAGCTTCACATAACCAGGTTCTGGATGCGCAAAATTTGACACCCCACAACCACTGCGTACTATTACAATCCGATGAAAAAGCATGGCTAATGCGTCCCAGTTAAGACCTGGCTTGACAAACCCCCTTAAACTAACCTGCCTAACATTGACTTTTAGCTCAGTGTCGATCTTATCCACCATGGGAATGTAAGGTAGTCAACGCCTGATCAATATGCGTGTAATTCACGAAACGCTACACTTTCTTTTGAAGAACACCGACTTCGGAATGCAGCTGAATCAACCAACCAAGTGAGCTTGAGAGTACGAGGCGAATCCCAAATACCAGATTATGAACCTGAACGTTATTAGTTTTATATTCGTAATGCACAACTCATAAGGTTGATAACAAACCGTCGACGGACCACGACTGGTTCCGCCCTTTTTGGAGCTCATCAGGTAAGCGCAGTCCCGGGTTTCAGGTCAACCGTATGTTCTACTTGGAACCATATTGCACGAAATTAGCGAATATACATTCATTTGCAAACTAATTTGGTTTTTTGAGAGACTCACCTGGAACCCAGCTTAATCTCTCGTTTGTGATGTTTCCAGGATGTTCCCAGTTTGGTTCAAACCCGGTTTTATCTATACTTTCATTTTTAGGCTTTGGCCGCGCTACAACCACTGCGTGAACGCGAGATTCAAGGCGTTGATGCAACCGCAAAACCCAAAGTTCCATCAACTTTACCACGTCCACCATCCTAGTCTCCAGGCAATGGGTACAAAAGTTTCCCAGTTTTACCGCAAATTTTGCTGACGTTCGAGCAATTTGTGATCAAGCATAATCCGATTCACGGTTTCATCTGTCATTCCCGAAGAACGGGTGGACTGCTTCCAGTCGACAGACGTGTCTTTCGAAAAATATACTACTGCATTTTTCCTCTCACACAGTTGTAAGCAAAGAATCATGTAAGTGAAGAGCGGCTACGTAGATGATTTCATACGATGTCTATTATCAAAATATAAACCTGATGTTCTGAACTTAAATGTTTATTTTACCGGGTTAGATGTACTGCTATGAGTTCCGATACGGAGAATATAAAATATGCTTTCGTCATCAGAGTTTCTGTTTTTATTTTGCCCTATTGTAGAAAGCAAAAATTTTCATTATTAAAGGAAGAATTTCCCCTCTCACTCCTCAACGAACATTGACGGAGTAGTTCAATAATGGGTCACAGGTTACTTTTTTTAGAGGCAACCGGCGCTTTTCCTAGAATAAACCCAATATTTTAGCTTCTTTTTTTCTGACAAACGGTAAGAGTGGCGAGCCTAGGAAAATCTACCAAACCGTTAGGACAAAGGATGTGGAAATAATCGCATCTGGGTGATTATCAGTAGTTGACTACATTGAACACTATAGCCGCATAATGCTTACTAAATGAGACATTTATCCAAACAGCGCAACTTTGAAATCAGTACCCTTAGAAGGTGAACAAGACGCCCTTACTGATGCGTCGCTATTTGCATAATCATAGCCTACCTTGCAACTACGTTCTAGCTGGACTTTCAACGCTGTTTTGCTCAAACGAACTCTTGCCCAGTGAAGAGCACTAGTAGTGTGAACAGGTTTCGGAATAGTCAATTGAAATTTCATCCTGTAAGTGAAGCCGGTACGCGGTGAAAAACCGAGAAACACTGTGCAGCTCTTACATCTTTTTGGGAATTACCAATGGTGCACAGCTCACGAATCTCTATGGAATTCGAACCTGCAAGCTTTTGGCTAGCAGTTTGAACATATAACCTATCTTCCACGAGCGGCTGATCAGTAATATGACTAACTTTTCTATTGGCTTGCGGTGTATACAAATGAAAATACAGTTCATGTGAGTTTATCTTTGTATTTCAATGCAGCCGCTAGGCTTTGAGCTCTTTAAGTAGTTACCATGACCTCAGTTACAGGGAGTCTGCTGACACCGAATTGACTATCTAGGGAAACTATATGACCGGGGTTTCCGAACCAAAATAACGATCCCTTGATCTTTTTTGCTGAAGGTACCACCTATGCCGACACGCTATTATTTCTACCATTATCTGTGTTAATTAATATCTCACTAATTATTGCGAAAGAACATGCCAAAAAGATAGCTATATGGCGGTTGCTGATGCAGTCATGTTGTTCAAGTTTTCGACTAGCCGAACGACACTTAGACATACAGATGCGGTCATACATGGGCGACGAACACAAACCTTTAGTCTATACACGAAAAAGGGCCGTTGTGAATCAGTTAGGAGTGTTGTGGATAGGATTCGGAATGTCGAGACCGAAATTTGGAATGCTGTCTCCCCAGACAGGCGTAGAGTTCCAAGTACACCGGGTAGATTTGCGTCCGAAGTTTCAACAAACTAAGAATAGTGAATATCTCGCAAGTGGGTGAAATTATAGTGTCTTCTAATGGTGGTGCATCTATATCCATCAGAGCCACTCTCTCCTTAGTCACAGTATTTGCGTTGCATAAAAACTACGACCCGGTCTGAAATTAAGAGGAGTATTGGACGCAGGTTTTTTCGATGGACGAGAACGAATGAGAACATCCGATATGAGAACGGTTAGGAATGTTCGCTGATTACCATCTGAGGTTAGGTTACTGTGCGCACTGATGATGTTTCCTCGTATGGTGACGAAACGTTTGCAAGCCAATTGCCAAGCTCGGCGAATAGATCAACAGCCACCTGATCAACAACGGTGGTTAGTTAGTCTTAGCAGCTTCCGAGAGCTACCACAGGTGACAGATATGCTTCAGAACGCACAACTTTTTTGCCGTGCGGTTAATATCTAGCTGAAAATCATCACCCATGAGAGGTTTGGTTGAAATCCACTTGGATTCTTCTCTTAATCCAAGCTAATCTGCAAATTAATTAGGAACTGCATTTAAATAGTCTGTCTTGTGCGTTGGAAGGCTTAAGCTATCTGAAAGAAAAAGCGAAGAAAGTTAACTCTCTCGGGAGTAAATTTGAAGATTTTTTGAGGGTTAGGCTTCCATTCTCAGGATATTAAAGCACAACATTAATAGGCTAGGTGCAGAAACCCCTATTGGTTTCCACTTCAAAACACTTCAAGACAATGATTTCTGTTTCCACATCAGTTGCATTTATAAAACTTGATTTTCGAGCAGCATGATGTAAGTAACAGGACCTCTTCTTCTTAAGTAACAGGACCGTCATTTGTCTCCAAAATTTTCGAGTAACAGACCGACTGTTTTACACAACCAATACAAATCTCTATAAAAAAGCAAGGCAATTGTAAGTGCACTGTACGTTCAAAACATTTGAGCTACTTCATGTCAAGTTTGAGAAACCTCCAGTTATTATGGAGGAGTTTTAAAAAAACGTTGCGTACCAACAATGTGATAATTTTTGCGTGTAGTTTGAACTTATCTTTTTGGCGGTTTACATCTCAGCTCGAGGAATGATGTTTTTGGAGTTCCGCGTACGGCACACCAAGAGTAAATATTCACTGAGCAGTCTCTTGGAAATTTTTGTTAAAAACTTGCACAGTTCAATTGTAACGGAGGCAGATAAGACCAAGCAGAAGTTAACCTTACTGGCGTTCCGCATACGAAAAGTTATTAACTCCCCGCCAAGCAAACCGCATTGTTCAGTAGATGGACGGGTCAAAATTACGGAAGTATATACGGTTGCGCGCACTGTAACAAGTTTCATTAGTCTAGTGTTATGAAAACTACACTCACTCAAGCTCGATACTTCTACGCTGTATATAGAATTCCACAGGGATCTGATGGTAGTGAGACTGGTACCGCAGATCTTGTGCACTTGCTAATCAGTGTAAAGTTGATCCAAAGCGTTAACTCCAGGTTATCAAAGACATCTCCCATAAAGCTGGTTTCATTCATGCGTGACATAATGAACAACTTGGTTGCGGAGAAACCTGAGCTTGTGAGATATGACTGTTCAGTCCACCCACAGTGACTCATTCAATCCTAATCAGCTGTGAAATAAATGACCGAACGGCAGGGCGAAAAAAGTTTCGTCCAGCAAAAATAGTCAAATCCGAAGTTTACTTGACTTCCTGTTGGAAAAAAACAGCAAACACTCCATTTTATGCATATGCACCCAAGTTTGATTCCCGTATGGGCTTGATCGAGTCTTGGTGGAGTCTTGGTAACTTGATGACTGGAGCTTACTGTTGGTGATGTCTGATCGTTAGCACAGGAATAATTTAATTCAATAAGTGTTGTTTTTTCCCCATCTGTTAGATTCGCCATTTGATTTTATTCCACTTTTCTCAATGCATGGCCGGGAAATCTCAGTATCCTGATCCAAATTTATCGGTTTGGATGAGCTTTGAAAACTGTACACATACTTTGTAG